AGTCACCAACAGATTTGATGTCTGTGTTTGCAGTCACTTGTTTTGGATTCAAGATGTAGCTCTAATTCTAAAAAAACCTCCTTCTTCATTGTTCCTATTAAAAAGAATCTAATTTGGCATTTTTTTCTTATATGCACCATTATTCAGTATTTTATTTAACCTATGGCTGATTTAACATTGTCAGTTATAGATCACCTGTGCTGGAATATTTTAGAGGATTCTTCCATAGTATGTTTGGATGATCATTAGTTGCCAGAGAGGGATTTTGGAATCAGGATAATTGAGGTGGAAAGGGACCACAGGAGGGCTCTGGTCCAAACTGCTGCACTATGCAGGGTCAGCCACAAGCTCAAGCTGGGGTTGGTCAGGGCTTTGGCCAGCCTCAGCATCTCGTTTCAGCTTCTTGCCCTCTGCAACGCACCACGGGCCTGACTCCATCTCCTCCAGAACCTCTGTGCAGGCACTGGCATGTCCCTGGTAGGTGCCTGAATCCATCTGTTCCCCAAGCTGAGCAAGTCCCCTTCCCTCAGCCTTTCCTTACAGGGCTCCAGCCCCAGACCAACCAAACCATTGGTGTCCATTTTGTATGGAGGGGCCCAAAACTGGATGCAGTATTCTCAACATGGTCTAGAAAACAGTAAAAAATAAAAAATAGAAAATTGTAAATGTTGTACTGACATTTTAGTGACCAGAATGAGACACGTGGGCTCAGAAGAGGAACAGTCATCAGTTGATCTAAGGGTATGAGAGGAGAAAAGGTTCAAAAATACCCTTTTTGAGAGTAACAAAGTTCAGTCAGCACCAGAGTTCAGTATTTCCTGGAGAACTTTCTGTAACTGGCTGCATATAATTATTTGTCTTGTGACTTCAGTCCCCATATATCTCAGTGCAGTGCCTTTCTCTAATCATTGCATTGATCCATACACAATTCTCTCTCATGTAAGTACACTGAAGACACACAGTTTGAGAGGATTGATCCCGTTTCCTCAGTACACAGAACTTGTGAGTCATTGCCACTACTTGTTTGAGCAGTATTACATGTAAGCATCTTAGTTGTATCTAAACACCCACACTGAAGTTTTTATGTAAGATTCAAATGTGCCTGATTAGCATAAGAAAACCCAGCGCATATTTGTAGAGCAGGTGCAAGCAATGTCTCATCTCTTCCTGAACAAAAGGTTAATACATTCCCACAAGTGACTTAATCCAACCTTATCGTTAAAAATTATATGATTGTAAATGGATACAAAGGAAAGTTAAAAAGCTTCAAGTAATGCACTGTAATTATTAGTTAATATTCAAAAAGGGCAGGACATTCAAAAAAAAAGAGAAAAAATACACCACTAACTACCAACAACTAATTCGCACACATTGCATTAATTTTAAGAATTAATTATGCTGTAAAATTTAAGCTTAAGTACATACAGCACGTGCAATGTAGGAGTGTGATGTAACAAGATCTGCAGCTCATGTTTTGACTTGTAGATTTAAAACCTAAGTGAATTGAAAATAAATGTAAACCTGGAGGTTTTAAGTTTTATGATGCGGAAAGCCATTGAAAAGGGAAAGTAGGAATTTGGTAGAATATGAATGATAGTAGTAGTCCCAAATTAATTTTATGATTTTTGTCACCTCAGTTAAAAATCGTTCAAGTATATATGCAATGAAGCGCATTTAATTACTGTATACAGAAAAAGAGAGGAAATATGATAAACATTTCCTGATAAGAGGTCACAATGAGGTGACAGGATGTGAATTGGGCCTGGGTAATAAAATTTGTGTGTGAATGTGTACAGCAGGGATTAAAAATTACCTGGGGAATTTAGTCCTATTGGAGAGTAAGATCTGTTGTGGATGACTCCCATCTAGAGATTTTCTAACCCTGGAGGAGTAAAAGGCACATAAAGCCTGATTAGATCAGCTCCAGGTTCTTCCAACTCAGGAAGCACTGCAGGGATGGCATTAGGGGACAGCTCTCTCAATGACAAAGGAGAGCAAGGACAGGCCAGCTCTCCAGTCTCTCCTCTGCCCGGGGCTGGCCCCAGAGGTCAGGTCATAAGGAGAGGGGGCTGGACACTGGAACGGGCCTGCAAGGAAGCTCCCAAGGACTGCCAGTTATTAATGACCACTAATGCTCTTTTTAACAGGCTTATGAAGCACAGGGAGGTGCAGCAATAGTTGTCTGGATTGCTGAGCTGCTATTTATTGTATATTTACTAAGAGGAGGTTTTCTTCTGGTAACCTGAGTTTTGTTAATCTTTGTTAAATGTGTTGGCTGAGCATTTATATGCTTTTTCTGTTTGTTTGGAAGACAGAAATTGCACTTCAGTTTTTCAATGGGATTTTTTTGTTCAACTGAATTTTGAGACTTTTTTTGGTTTGCCCTTTTTTTTTTTTTAATTTTCCTTAGAAACAAAATCTGCACATTTTAAAATTCTTTCCAAATGAAATTTTCAGTTAGATAGACTTGGCTTCAGGAAGTGTTGGGTAAAGACAGAAATTCTAATGCAAGATAATTCTCTCAAAGTTTTGCTAGCCCTTCTTTTTTGCTGCAATTGTTCCACAAGAGTTTTTTACATTTGTGAATGTGGGAAAAAATGTTTGTGGCTCTGCAGACAACATGTCAGGTGTGCAGACTGGCAGAGTTTTTCAGAAGCAAAAAGAAGCTATGAAAAGGCACTCTGGCCAGGCTTTGAGACCTAATATAAAAACATGCTCAAGCTTATGCAGTTTTTCTGCCTAAATGTAAAAGATTAAATTTAGCTGTGCTTTTATTCATAAGGTTTTCTTAACATGACAGGAGCTAGTTATGCTGATTTATTTAGTCTTTAAACCATCTAGGCATTAACATCTAAGTATGCTTACAGTCTACAAAGAATCTGTTGGGAACGGAAGTGGGTCATTCCTACTTGATTTCTAAAGGGAACCAGTGATTACAGGGCAAGAAGGCCATGTAGATTTTAAAACCTAAAGGGAAGGCACTAGTTCTGGATTGTAATTTATAAAGATGTGCAGAATGTTGGTTAACTTTGAACAACAATACAAAGAAAGTCAGTTTTATTATCTCTTGAGAAGCATAATGTTGGAATTGCATAACAAAAAAGTATATTTAACTGGCTGTAGTCTGTGATAGTTGCTTGATTGGATATTGGTAAAAAGATATTAAATTACAGAGAATCCAACAATTGAACTTCAAAGGTAACAAAAAGGAATCCTTTAACTACGTAGGTTACAAACTATTCAAAAGCTTTTCTGTACTGGTTTTCAGCAAGGATCTATAATTGTTTGTAATAGATTTTGGTTTTCATCATCTTGGTTCTAGGGCTTACTGAAGCTTCCTTATGCCAGAGCAACCTGAGTATTTCCCAGATACCAAAAACCTTCTGAGTAAGGTAGAACTGATTATATCATTTTCTTCTGCCAGGTTTTCCTTTGAAGAAATTGTGAAGAACTGGCATATTGCTGAGCTCACCTTCCCAATATGTTTCCTGTAGCAAGAAGTAGTCCCTCAGCTTAAGAAACAAACAAACCAACCCCACAAAAACTAAGCAAACAAAAAGCCTAACCTGTTTGCCTGCTCACATTAAATATCAGTTCTGGGAGTGGTTAAGCTCTGTTAAGAAGTTACTCAGAAAAACTGTAGAATGTCCATCTTTGAAAATTTTAAAAACTTGACTTGATGAGATTCTAATCAACCTGATATAACTTCTAAGTTAGTGGTGCCTTGATCAGGAAGTTTAATTAAATTACACCCAGCCATCCCCTCAGCAGGAATCTCTCCATGAGAAGTTAAATCAGTCAAGTATATTAACTTACTGAATTCTGGAAACAGGATCCATTCAAATGTGGTTTAGAAGAGTTTGTTTTCTTAAGCACAGACAGCAGCTCTTTTGGGGCTTTCTTTCAAGTTTTTTTTAAAAATACATTCAGAATTTTTCCAAAAGGAAACATTGAAAACTGTTAGCAGCACAGACTAGTAACTCGGAGAGGTGCTCTCTGAGTGCAGTGTGTCTGTGTCACATATGTAACTTCAGCAGGTGTCTGTTGCCCCCTTCAGACTATTCCCAGTACTAGAGAAAAATTAGTTGGAAATTAATAGCATTCTTTTGCACTAATTTTTGGATGGAGATAGGGGGAAAAACTCTAAGAAGAAAGATACTATTAAGATAGTTGCTGAATGTTTTTGGATATTAGCAAAGGTTTTTCTTTGTGTTAGAAATGCACAGCAATGAAATTATCTTAATCAATATGACAAATGATACTTAAGTTACATCTTTAGCTCTCAGGTTCAATAGTCACAACTGAGGAAAAAAGATCTTAGAGCAAAGGCTGCAGACTGGGCTGTGGAAACTTGGAAATCAGTTCAAGCTTCCAGGGTGCATTTATACAGTTTTGGTTAAGTGATTCCAACTCTGTGATTCAGGTCTTCATATGCAAAACAAATTATGCCCTATTTCTCCTTTCACCTTCCTTCCACTTCAGAAAAATCTTTTGTAGCATGATCAATGCCAGGCTGGCAGAAGGTCTTCCTTCCTAAATCCACAGATGGGGGATTGCACAACTGGATTCTAGTTGCCTAAATATACCTGTGTGTACATGTGTACATGTCCATACACTTACATACCTGTGTCTACATATGTGTGTTCAATAGCCCCCTAATCTCAGCTGAAGTGAAGTACTCCCTTTAAAAAGAACAAACCACCACCTCAGTGAAAATGCAGGCTCGGTCAGTATGACAAGGACAACTGCAGCTAGAAAATACAGTCATATCATGAAGTTAAGACCTGGTGTCTGGGATGTAATGTGGTACTTTGTTTTAGCTTACCTGAGAAGGCTTTTTAAAATAGACAAAAACAGAAGTTCTAAAGGAAGATTATCTTATGCATTGTCTTTTTTCTGTAGGGAGAGAAAACTTTTCAGGAGTATAATTTCTATTTTGTATCCATCTTCCCCTAGCATAGCCTGTTGAGATAACAGCACATATAAATACCAGCCTTTTATAGGGTGATATTGCTTTAATATTCCTCACACACAATTTAAACAAAATGTCTAAGGAAGAACAGCGATACAGATTTGATGGTGCACTTCATTCCATATACCTCATAACATAAAATTTTCCACAAAATAAAAATTATATTTTTCAAAAGGGAAAGAAATACTGATAGTAGTTTTTCAGAACTAAAATAGTTATTTTCTACTTTGGTGAAGCTGGATTTTCAAAGCTTCTGAGTGAAGCTCTCACATACATACAATATATTCTATTTCCTGTCCTATTGTTACTCATTTTGCTGCTAATAGTAAAAAAAAAAAAAGTTTTTATGTTTCACATGACAGATTCTCACCACACCAAGGAAAAGCTTGACACCATCCTTGAAGTTAAATCACTCTGATGTGACAGAAGGTTTCTCCTGTTCACACAGACTATACATCCTTTGAGATGTAGCGATGCAGATGCATCACTGAGGTATGTTGAGTGTTTCCTTTGTCAGCTTGCTGCCTTTTTTGTTTAACCCTATAAGTTTGGGTTTATCATCCCCACTCCTTGGCACTCAATGATGTAGGTATCATTACTGGGATCTTCGTCTTCTGCTTTTGTCACAGTAAATTTGGCCTAAAAGAGGATTAGAAATATATCACAAATTAATTTATCACACACATAAGTTTAAATATTCAATATCTGACACCAAATCATTGTATTGCCATGTGTTTATATATATCAGAGCTTTGACAGGTTAAATTAAAAAAACATTTAAATAAAGGTGGTTGAAGTATCTAACCATTCTAAAAGCATTTAACTTTAAAGTATGTTCATTTTCTACAGGAAAACTCCCATGTAAACATTGTAGCAATAATTTTATCCATGCTTATCCTCCATGATCAAGTTCAGCTCACAATACCTGCTGAACTCTACATTGCCTAGTTAGTTACTGGATGACAACTCATAGTTAAAACTTCCTGAATTTTTGGACTCACCTTTGTTAGCTGCTCTGCAAAGTGTATAGCTGTTTGAGTATGAAGTGTAATTGGTCCACTTTTCACTCTAGACACTCCCTTTGCTAGAGCCATAAAAATGATCAGCTGGAAGGGAGGGAAGGGGAATTATTAAGTAATTCTTCAGATTCTAGGAACCTACTGATGTTAAAAAAAAAAAAAATATCTGTAGATGTAAAAATGTGGTCTGCCATGTTTCATAAAAGTTCACGATCTTGATTTTTAAGAAGTTTGGAAATTACTATTCTAACACCTATTACCAAAGGGCTACTACTTTTCCACAGTAGATGCCCTTGAATCCTGTTACTATATTTAACTTTACTCTCCCTCATTGTCTTCCCCAAAATTCCCCAAAGTCATGTCAGACTCCAGGTTAGTAGAATACCTATACGGAGAAAAAACCTCAGGAAGAGGTTCTTTAATTCTAACACTTCCTGATCCCATATTCACCAGAGAGATACTGAAAGACATTTGATTTGATTTACAAACATCACCGTGACAAGTACTCTGTAATGTGTGATACAATTCTGTGCAGTTCCATATACACCTAATCTGGCAGTGGCTTGTTCCCACCAATGGTACTGTGCATGCTTTGAAAAAAGTAGGATGAGTCCAAGACCTAAATAGCTCCTATTACACTACATAACAGTAATGTCTGCCCAAGTGTTTACAGCTAAGAGGTAACATCATCCTATCTAAAACAGCCCAAGATTCTTATAAGACAGTGGAGGGCTTTCATGCTCAAATGAAATTAGGTAAGAAAGACAAATGGGAGCACCCCCTAGATATTCTGTTCTCTAATAACTTCACTTAGTATCATTCTTTATATGTAACCAGGGAGCTGTTTTCACACCACTACATGGAATGTCAAATCGAAGCGAATTCCTGCCTCTTTCTTCCATACTTACTAAGAGTTTCAGGAAGGGAAAAATCGAGGGTGATGGTACAAAGCCAGGAGCATTTGTGGTTCCTAAGAACTGTGAGTAATTTGCTAATTCTAGTGATGTTGTGATCACACATCTCTAAGACTTCTAATTAACATCTCATTCTTTCCCTGTTCAGATTTATATTCTTTACAAGTAATACATACAGGCATGTTCTTACCACTTCAGCTTCATGTAAACACACAGGAGCCTTACCTGGTCTTGCAGAGAATCATCCACAGTTCCACCATGTTTAAGATTCTTAAGCAGCATCTCAGCTGCTTCAATGCCAACCTTGTCAGAATTCTTTCCTAACAGAGAAATACAGGATATTTGGAAGCTGACAATTACTATTTAACATTTTAAAAATACAGAAGGTAAAAAAAAATTTTTTCCACTTTTTAAACCTTATTTTCATGCTCTTGCCTCAAATGTCTGCTTTAAAAACCCTCCCCATTTTATGATGATGTATAGTTCACACTTCCTAAGCAGTGGAATGAAAGTGGCCCCATTTTTCAGAAAAACGTTTGATTTCAATAGTTAAAACCCAAAATCACTTCTATTCATTTTAATCTAGATTCACTGTTGAACAAAAGCTTCACAGCTAAACCACGAAGTCCATGTTCCTGAAGTCCAGAAACATTTTCAGCTCAGTGATCCTTAACACTCCATTCTGATAAAAGGTAAGGCTGTAGTTTTGTCATTTTTGTGAATTTCCATTTGCTGTTTTAAATCTGCTCATTTCCACTGTCCTTTATTACTAAACAACATCCATTTAAAAATGCATCACTCAAAGTATCAGCTCTTTAAACAGATGATACTTCAGATTCCTATTTGTTATTAGTATATTCAGTTAAATCTCAAAGACTTCATGGAATTCTTACCTCTCTTGCCAAGTGATGACCCAGCTAACAAACAACCTGTTGAAGTCTCTGCAACAATGCTAAGCACAAAAAAACAGAATCAAAATTAGGAACAGAATCACTCACACTACACTTCATTTATCAGACATGTAATCAAAATCTAGCTAATCAACCAGCAAGATTACAGGTATCAATAGAAAGTTTGGACTCTTCTTACATTATTCCACTTCCAGTCCCAACAGCTTGATCATCAGGTTCTCGAACAGGCTGAATGTTAATATAAAGATCTCTGATTTCTTTTCTGATGCATCTCACTGCTGCTGATGACATGTCTTTTGCCAGCTAACAAGATAAGACACAAAACCAGTAATTAAATTATATAACAACAAAAGTACTTTTTCTTCATAAATCTAATAGAGATAGATATAGAAACTTCAATATCATCACAATTTCAAGAACTTTTCTTCATTCTTAGGGAGAAAGATTTCAGTCCTGAGTATATCAAAACACCAGATTCTAAAAAAAACCCCACAAATCCTCCAAAAACCAACTGTAAAACCCCCACAATTATTATGTACAGGATATATTCTATAAGAGATAATACTAAAAAATAACAATTTTAAATCACAGGCAAGTGGGGACAGATGAAGCTTATCCCATCCGTGTGATCTAATCATAGCTAATATTCATAGGTTTGGGGATTTTAAGACCAAAACCAGCAATCCACAGCTCTTCAAAAACTAACTCAATTCCTCTTCTTCCTTCCTCTAATAATTTCTAGCCTGTGTGTGAGAAGGAACCTTAAGGAGGTCCCACCACTCAGAACAGGAAGGGGGTATAAAGGAGCAAATTTCTTTCCATTTTATTTTTGGCTAAACCTACCCTTAACTTGTTCTAATACTCTTAGCAATGGTTGAGAAATTTGATGTTTTCTGACCTCTGCCTATTACAGTGCACCATAGCTTACCCATAAATCTATGAACAAGAGCCATAATTCCAGATTTAAAATAATCCACATAAATAAGAATGATATATAAATCAGATATAAGATACCCCTCAATACATGCTAAATAGTCATATGAAGGATAGTGAGGATAGTGTTCTCATTTCCTGTTTTAGCTATATATTGCTATGCAAGAACTGCATTTTACAAATGTCCAATATACTGTTTTACAGCCTGAATAACTGAAACCATTTAATAAGGCTACTGCTGAGTTTGTATGGGAAAGACTGCAAAATACTGGAACAGTAGAGGAATGTTAAGCAGATTACATGCAATTTTATATAGATATATAAAGCTGGATACTACCAGAACTATTATCAGCACTTACTTTGATAGGCAGTGCTCCAGCAACAAATGCTCTTCCATATATCTTTGTCACTGTGCCACGTTCTGTTAAGTTGATCGGGCTCAACTCTTTGACTGGAGACATCCGGACCACAACTTCACCACCTCCCTGAGGATAGTAGCCCCTATTTAGAAACAGTAATCAGATATAATTAAACACAAAGATCACAAAGAAACCAAGAAAAGGGTCAGAAGGCTCTTCATATATTTTTATGTTCTCTGTTACTGTACGTATGAATTTTCTTGATGTGTGGCTTCGAAACCTTTATAATGGAATTATGTTCTCTTACAGTATTACTTTGTAATGTACATTTTATTAACTACCTCACACCAACCTAACTGGCACCTCAGAAGCTCAGTAGTGTGCTGCCTGTTCAGCATGCACTGCCCTCAGGGGCAGCCAACAGGAGACATTACACAGCAGCTGTAGCATCAGCAATGAAAAACAGACGGGGAAGAACCATCTCACATTCATCATAAGGTGACAGTACACACAGGGACAGCTAATGCAGATTAGTTCATGTATTATAAATTCATCCCTCAGTTTGATTGAGAGCACCTTGTGTGTGCCTCTGTGCTCACACACAGGTTCAGAGTGTGCCTCCGCCACATGACTCCACAACTCACCTCTTTTTTATGTCACAGTGAAATGTGAAGTTGAACTTTTCAATTATTGGCTTAAAAACCTGAAAAACAAACACATATAAAAACACAGAGGGTATTTATTTTGCATTGATAATTTCCCACTATTTTATGCAGTCTTCAAAAAAAAAAAAAGAAAAAGGCAAGACAAAAATTTCAGTTACATTATTGAAAAGAAAAAAATATAGCCAGTCTCATGCATACAGCTTATTTGACATTCCTCATACTCCACTCTGAATGCCACTTTGTGGAAAAGGATTTTCTTAAGGAAAAAGGAAGATCAAATCACAGCCCTTTTAGAATAAAGAATATATTTTAAATGAAAATTTCTTTAGTAATTAAAACCAGACAGACTATTTGCTGTTTCAGGAAATCCCATGAAACGTTGGTTGCTCTCTACATACAGTACACTAATAGTGTTATATTCCCATGCCTAATTCCATAATCACAAATACACTTGCAGTAAGAGCAACAGAAGTACAGCAGTTACATTGCACACATATTCATGAAAGATGCACCAAGCCAAAGGAATTTTTCCCTACCATGACTGTGTAGTCTATCTGAGGAGCCATCTCAGCATTAGTCCCACCTTTTAAATGAAGCTCTGATGGGGAAGCAGCAAACAGCACACAGGGCATTGCTACCTGCATCAGTAGACACACGCTCCTAAAAGAAATTATAAGACACTCAGATGTCATACAGTCATAACCCATAGAATTCCATAGAATCATTACATATCACAGGCTTTCCAGAGCATTTACATACTTATTTTATCTTTGAAATTATCTGTAAAATTGTTAGTCTTAAAAAAATATTAATTTAAAACTTCATGTCCTTAGCAAGCCTAAATATGAAGGTTTTTATTTCACAAAAATTGCATCTTTAATAGTCTTGTTTGAAATAAAAGTAATGTATCTTATCTAGTATACTGATGGGACTGTGAAAACTGTGGGTTTAGCTAGCAGATGATAAAAGCAGACAAGGCTTAGGCAGCAATAACATTTTAATACTTATTTAATAACAAAATACCAAGAAAACTATAAAATTGGTTATAAGCTGGTCAGCATCCCACACAAGAGAATTCAGGAGCACAGAAAATATTAAGGTATTAGATACAAGATTACCCTATCACTGAATCTCTCTGCATTTCACAGAGATAAAAATGCTTCCAAAGTAAGTTTTCCAAAAATAGAAGTTTGTTTTGGCAAAACAAAACAGTTATCTCACAGGGCTTTCAAACATAATTTTGAATTGTAAAAACAGTAATCACCAAAGAACTGAGAAAACATGGGTTTGTTTTCTTAAATAACTCCCAAATGTTTGTGAACTATAGTGTTTATCTTTTTTTTTTGTGCTTAATTACCAATTCTGCTGCGTTGTGGCTTACTCAAACTTTTCTATGTTAAGTTAAAGGCATCAGCTTGGTTGTTTACACTATTGCAGCTCAGAAAAATATTTCTCTTAAAGGGAACTTTAACTTATGCCTGCTCTGGCTTATGCTTCCAAACAACTGTTCACACCAGCCTTCCATAGCTAAACCCATTTACTCAGTTTTGCAACAGATTCCAAGAACAAAGAACCCAACACAGAAATACAGAAGAAACACAGACACAAGAACTGTTGATAGAATATGTTCCCAGTTCCAAAAGACTAGTATCCCATCGTGTACCACTATGTGTGTAAGTAAACTCTCAAAATTTACTTTACTAGGTAATGATTATTTCAGACTTCATGGATTTGAGATACTTATCTAATTTAATGCATTTGATCTGATATGTAACATACTAATGTGAGAAAATAACAGCTGAAGTTTTAAAGACATGAGCAGATATTTTTTGCTTAAATGAATCAAGTGTTCAAGTTTTATAACAATTGTAATTTTAAAACTATTATACTTGCATGTATTTTATTCATGCATATCCTTCCTATACTACGGGTTCTTTGGTAACATAAATCTGACTCAGGCAACACATCTTCTGGGTAGAAGATCCACGTATAGATGTTCTTTTCCCCCCCAGTCTTCTGTTATAATATTAAAATTACAAGAAGCCATGTACAAAGACATACCCTGCTGTTTTTGTATCTGCTATGTGGGTTCCACCTTTGATCTTCCCAGGAGTGAAGGTTATTTCTGTTGAGCCAATTTCTCCACCATTCAGCTTCCCATCACACAGATCCCGAACAATCTCCAATCCAGACAGATGCTGAGGCCTTGGAGTGACAATACAAAGTTAAAGATATATGCAAGTAGACTACATACTCATGTTACATTAAAAGAACTACTATATACCAACTAATAGAAACTACAATTGCAAATTTCTGATCAGTCAAGGACCAGAAATTCGCTCTGGTTGCTACAGTACTTCTCCTGAGTTCACAGGAGCCAAAGGAGCAGCATTCAGGCCATTCTGGAGTAGGCAGGATTCTGGTATCTTTTCCATTAGAATGAGTCCAGACAGACAGATGAGATGCAGGAGCAGTCACTTGTCCTAATGTGATAAGCACTTGGACAGAAACGGAATGGATAAGGATGGCAATACTGGCAGAGCTAGAACTGGCTGTAGTGCCACAGGAGAGCTAACACGTTTGCTATGTATGTGTCTTCTTGTGCTTGCGTTTCCATTTGTTTGGGTAACTTAGATAGAAAATACCCTAGCTGTCCTTAACACTGTACGCTCCGTGAGCCACGTTTCGCTGAGGCATTATATGATTGTATTTCGTGTTTCATTCCGTGTTTTAGCACCTCTGGAATCATTCCGAGGCGGCAGCCCTCACCTGCCCCGGCAGCGGGCGACGGGACCGACCGAGCCCGGTTCATCCCCAGCGCTCCCCCGCGGGCACTCCTCGAGAGCCACAGACGGCATTTGCTGCTAACAAGGTTTTCTCAAAGCAATGGAAACACCAGTGTTTCAGACGAGAGCAGCGGAGGCTCTTTGCGCGTCCCCGGGAGGGCCCCACACGCCGTAAGTGACCGGCCGAGCGCCCCATGGCCGCCCGGGGCGGGTCTCACCTGAGGCCGGGCTGGTTCCGCCCGGCACGGATCCGGCGCACCCGCAGCGGCAGCCCCAGCAGGCAGCTCAGCGCCGTGGACACCCGCAGGATCTGCCCGCCCTGCTCGGAGAAACGGCGCTCGTCAGGCGCTGCGGCACCGCCCGGCCGGGACCGCAGCCCGGGGCCAGGTAAGCCCGGGGCCCGCCGCTGGCGCTCACCCCCTCCATGATCCCGCCGTCTATGTCCACCCTGTCCCCGTCCATGGCTGTCGGCGAGCGGTGTTTCTCGCAGAGGCCGCGCCGATGGGGTCCCGGCAGGGCCCTGCACAGGGCGAGCCCCCGGCGAAGCAGCCCCGGGGCCGAGAGCGGCAGAGGCACGTCCGGGATGCTGCGGTGCCGGTGCCGGGGCGGGCGGCGGCGCGAGCAGGCGCAGAGCGGAGGCGCCTCCCGCCCGCCCTGCGTTGGCCGAGGGAGGAGCAGTCGCCGGGTCCCGTTGCCCGGGCAGCGGCCGGGCGCAGTCTCGCCTCCCCACGGTACCGACCGCGGCCCGGCACAGGCGGGCTGCAGCGGCTCGGAGTCTTGCGGGGGGCAGTGCCTTTCCCCTGTGTCGGCCAAGGGCCAGAGCGGTGACAACCGCGGCACCTGGCAGGTCAGCGTAGGGGGAGAGCGGCCGGACTGCTGCCCGCACGGTTACGAGCGAGTTTTCGTCAGAATCAGAGAATCAATTACATTGGAAAAGACCTCTGAGATCATGGCGTTCAACCTGTGACCGACCACCCCGTCAACCGGGCCATGGCACTAGATACCATGCCCAGTCTTCCTTAAACACCTCCAGGGACGGTGACTCCACCACCTCCCTGGGCAGCGCATTCCAATGTCTAATCACCCATTCTGTGAAGAAATTCTTCCTAATGTCCGACCAAAACCTCATCTGGCGCAGTTTAAGACTGCGTCCCCTCGTTCTGTCGCTAGTTGCCTGGGAGAAGAGGCCGAGCCCCACCTGGCTACAAACTCCGTTCAGGTAGAAGCACAGACATGGGGGTGTTGGTCAGGCAGGCACACTCGGGACTTTATTACACGTGTATCGGGAACGGCCGGGCCCTTGGCGCTGCCCCTCCCGCTACCCAGGGAAGCCACACGCCCTGCCCCGCCGCCAGCGGCTTTGCGGTACCGGGGCCGCGTCGCGCCCGTTCCCGCGGGCGTGTGCGGGACCCGCGCGCCGCCTGCGCTGCCCCGGCCCCGCTGGCCCCGCCCGGCCCGCGGCCCCCGCCCGCCGCCTGGTTGGCTGGGCCGGCGCGGCCGCCGCCGGTTGGCTGGGCCGGGGGTGTGTGAGGGGCTGCGTTGCCCGGGGTAAAATGGCGGCCGTGACCGCGCTGAGGAGCGGCTGCCGAGCCGCGGGGCGCCTGGTAAGGGGAGCGGGGACCCCGCTCCGGTGCTCAGCCGGGAAGGGGAGGGATAGCGCGCAGCATCCCCGCCTCGGCGGCGGCGGTATCCCGGAGCCCCGGTGCTGTCGTGCAGCCGGCAGCCCGCGAGCACCGCGCGGCTGCAAACACCACACGCTCGCGGACCTTCCGCCTCCCCCGCGCCTGCGGGCGGGCAGCGCCTCAGCTCCCCTGCCCGGCCGCCTCAACAGTGCCTGCGGGCGCGCAGTGCCCCGGTTCCCCTGCCTGGCTGCTCAGCAGTGCCCGCGGGCGGGCAGTGCTCGGCTCCCCCTCCCGCCCGCCCTCAGCTCTGCCCGGCTGCCTCAGCCGCCCCCAGCCCGCCCCGCAGCCCCGGTGCGGGCACAGGTGCCCGTGTCCCCGCAGGTGCCCGGCCTGCCCGCCCCGGGCTGCCCCGGCCCTGGCGTTCAGCTGGTCCTCGCTCCTGAGGGACCCCCAGAGCTGACACCGTCGCCCCGCGCAGCCCCGGAACGTCCTCCCCATTGCCCGTGTTCCCTGTGAAAGAAACGTGTGCCTGTCTGTAATAAGCCAGTGACATCCTTCTCTCCTGTTATTTCTAAGTCGTCTGATCCGTTGCTCTGCCTGTGCGTTGCGCTGCCATCGCCGCTCCTCCGCCCTCCATCAGCTCGCTGTGCGTTCTGCATCCGCACAGCGACGGGGCGGCTACACGTACAAAAAAGGGAAACGTGTTTCTTTGAATCCCGGGAGCTTTGATACTTGAAAAGTAGTTGCGATACTTTACCATAAGGATCGAATCTACTTGGTTGCCTTTTAGGACACTTACAGTCTCATAAACGTAGCGTCGTGAAGATTAATTAGTGCTTTCTCCTGTCTTCTTGTATTATAGTCTTCCTGCTGTTGTGAAGAGTGTTGGTTTCCAATTATGTCACTGCTGTTTTGTGGAATGTCAGAAAAAGAAATAACTTTTCTAAGATAATATAAGTAGATACAAAATTAAGGATCAGTTCTAGTTTCCATTATTATTTTTTCTCTAAATAGTAGTTCATACTGTATTTTTAAATCATAATGGCGAGGATTTTTAAGTGGTACTTTTGTGATCTAGTTTTGGGCCATTCGTAAGTAATTTTACTAAGTAAGACCATTGAGAAATAACAGTTTCCTTTTGGTTTTCTTCCTAACCATCTACTCTTAAATGCAGAGGCAGATTCTGATAAGATGAAAATGCTCATCTTATCTATGTGCATGCTGAACTATAGAATTGGCTGGTTTATAGTGTGTTTCCTGCAAGCACATTTTGAATCTTGCTAGATGCTAATTCTTGTGACCATCTGCTGTGAAACAGCGATAAGTTCCAAGAAATAATTTGGTTATTATATTATTAAAGGGCTTTATTTTAATATTCTCTGTACCTTTGTAAACACTTTGGCTAGCAAAAGGAAGAAGGACAAAGTCACAGTGATTGTGCATGGGGGCTGTAAATCATGAAGGAAAGAAGGAGCTTGGGGGCCCTTGTGTAAAGTGGTAGGGAAATGGCAGTTACCTGGACACTGGGACATGTCCCAGTTATTTAGGTGAGGAGTAACCTCAGACTAAAGTATGCTACCAAGGACATTGCTTTACTATATAGGCAACTATATACTTGGAGATACAGAATATGTATGCAAATCGAATCCAGTGTGAGTAAATATTCTTTAAAATAACTCAATGTGACAGCAAATCAAGAGAGTTCAATAGGGGAGTATCCTTTAATGAGAAGTCATTGCCTTTTAGCACAAACTATTCAATTTGACTTTGAAATTTAGTGTTGCTCCATCAGGTAATTGGTTCCCTGCAGGCTGCATAAAAATATTTTTTTCTGAGGCCAGCAGTAGATCTTTAGGATCAGTGGTAATTTAGCAAATCACAGTTGGCTTCTTTTTGAGGAAACAACCAAACCTGAACCTAAGGGGCAAGGCAGTTCTCCCCTGAATAGCAGCAGCTCCCATGTTGGCTGGGGTCAAACCACAGTTCTTGGTCAAGCAGGCTGATGTGTCCTCAGAACTGGCCAGGGGCTGGGGTGGACCCTCATTTTCTTCTTGCCAGAGTAACTCTGGACATTGAAGACTTGCACAGGAAAGGTGTTATCTTGCTGGCCATTATTACCTTTGAATTGCAATATAGTGTGATAGTGGTGACATAAACATAACTGATAGTACTGGACTTGTTGGGGTTTTATTGCTAAATTTTTCCAGACACCAAGATATGTAGATGGGTATGCTATGGATATTAGAGCTAATTCTGTCTTTTTTATGCTTTTTTATTTCCTTATTTAACATTACACGGAAAATACTACTATGGTGATTAAATACTGAAATTAATTAGCACAATTTATTTATTGGATTTTAATATGTTTCTTGTTAGGAAGGAAGGCTGTTCTATCAAGAGATTGTGCAGTGTGTTTTTACTGTAACATACTAGCACACCAACTTTTTAGTTAAGAATGTGCAAAACTGCAAACCAAAAAGATTCCATTTTTAAGAAATGCAGGAGTTTTGAATTATTCCTACAAATATAATGAAACATCATGGTAACTTTTCTATAACAAAACCAGTCTCTTTTTTTGGCAGTGTCATTACTAAATCACTACCTGCATTGGTTACCAAATGTTAAAAACACATGGAAATCATTGTGAAACTTCACATTTAGAAATAGTTCAGAGATTTGATGTGCTCCTTGTGATCATCTTCACAGGTAAATATTGAATGTTTTTCATTTAGGGTCATATAAAGAGAAAAGAATTTTATTTTAAGTTTGTGACAAAAAGGCCTTGTTGAACACCATTTCTTGCAACGTATTTATGTAAACCTTGAGGGGGAAAGAACACCAGAATCAAAAATAGGAACAAATAGGTTTGTGAAGATGTACATTATATACCACTTTTGTAATCTAATGAGAATTTTAAATGTGTTCATAAAATATGATTTTCCATAGCTTAAAATTACCATGTAACCTAATTGTCGGATAGGGAAAGTTGTTTGGAGGACTAATGAAAAGGATTTTCTGTTTGCTTGTTATAGGAATTAGAAAAATACTTATTCTAGATCAGTAGATACAGTCTCAATAGCAGGTGGCTGTAAAGTAACTCGCATAATATAACTTTGTTGTATCCATTGGGATAGACTGTGTTGTGTAAATGTTTGTTCCTTAAAGAAAAATGATATTAAATATAGCTTGCAATGCTAAATTAAACAGTACATAAAATGCCTACATTGTCAGTTCAGGATTTTATGGCTTCATGAATATTCTACTTTTTAAACAGTGTAATGTAATAGCAAATAGTTGAACAGTTTGGGGTGTGGGGCGGGCAATCAGGAAGTTTCATATGCTCTGTAATTACTGAAAGGGTTTTTCAAAAAAGAAGTTAAAATGAACTTTCCCATGCAGGTGTGCTGTTTTCTGGCTCCTCTAAGAAGATAATTTCTAAATTTTACAGTTTTGAGCTACTTGAGGTACATTGTAGCACCTGAATTTTTTCATATCTCTAATTAATTAGAGATAGTATCCACAGAGAAATTATTATTTTTATAAATTTTACAGCACTGCGAGACAATATAACACCAGAATTCCATTAAATTTAAATCTTACTAAATAAGATGATGTCTGGACTAACTTGTGTTGAGATTAATAAAATACCTATTTATGTCAATGGAAGTGCTACTGGCTTCGCTTTTGACCACAATCATGATGCTTTAAAGCATAAGGTTTTGTCTGATGAACCTTTCAGAAAATTCTGTAGACCCTTTTAAGTTGATTTCTGGATAAATATAATTGTAACCATAGAAGAAAACCATCTCATGTCCAGTTCTTAAAAAAAGGTCTTTTAAGTTATGTGAAATGATATTTACTTGAAGATATTGCCTCCTATATATTAACAGAAACAAAAGGGCAACTCTCTGTGCCCTCTGGTGTGAATTTCCTTTCCAGTTAGTACTTCTGATCACCCTTTGATTGGAATAAGAACTGATGAAGAAAAATATGCTGGTTTTCCCTGCAGTCTGGGAGCCCCTTCCAGCATTCGTTCTGGATAAGAATATTTAGTTGGCTGATGTAGTTGATACTATGTGTGCTTTGTGTGTGCACGCCCTGATTAAGCTAATTCCTTAGAGAAACAATAGCAAGTATGAATCTCTTACCAGATCTTGTAATGATTTTTGTTAATTGATTATTTTGTTATGGCTTTGATCTCCCCCTGTGTTGTGTTAGTCAAAGAAGTTAAAGACCTGGCAAAGCTTATGCTGATGTAATGGCTATTGTACATCCAAATGTGTATTCAGTGCAATTGTTTCCTTAAGAACTTCTCTTACATAGACTAGAATGAAACTATTTTAGTATTATGTTGCATCAGGAATATTAAATGAGCTCCACGTTCCTCAGTCCATTGTATTAACACTTGAGACTTTTCTCCCCCAGGTGTGCATTCACCGTGTTAGATGGTGCAGCAGCATTCGTGTTATAAAATCAAAATATGTGTGCGTGTTTGACAAATCTGCCCTCAAGTTTAGTCATCAACAGCGATTATTCAGAACATCTGCTGGTAATCTTTTTCATAATAAAATAATTTATTTTATTTTGCTATTTTATGAGTGTTATGTTAGCGGCTTGTATATGGCTGGTATGTAAACTTTCTGATGCATTCAGATTTTTCTGCCTGATATCTTGTATTTAATATTAAACGTGCTGTACTTTCTTATTGTCTGTTTTAAGTTTCATGTGGCCAGATTGTCCAGTTTAAGCTTTCTGACATTGGAGAAGGGATTACAGAGGTGACTGTAAAAGAATGGTAAGCTCTGCTTTCTTAGAAATGTACTGAGAAATCAAGAGGTAGTTTAACAGCTTTAGCTGTGTTATCAATTAGTTATCTGAGAATATTTTCTGGCTTACAAGTGAAGTTTTTCAAGTTTCGTTTTCCACATTTTAAAACCTTGGACATAGTGAACTTTACATTTTGTTTATTTGTAGTCTGGTTTATTTGTGAATGGAAAAGGTGGAAGGAATGGGATGCCCTAATTGTGCCTATATACAGGATTTCCTTCAGTGATTAATGTTTTCAGTGTTTAGGAGGTCTGTCTTTTATTATGCTTACTTAGGCTGAGCTTTAGAAACAAATTACTAGTCCAGAAAATCCGCATAATTTTATCCTATACCCCTTCTCTATTGATTTTATTGAAAGATTTGAACTTTTAAATTGTTTGTAAAAGGCCAGTGATGAATGGATTAAACAAAATCAAAGTGTGCAGTGAAGAAAGGGAGTGCTGAAATGCTTTGTTCTTTGTACGAATTCCTGTCTCTTTGTGTAGAAGATCATGTACTGATCCTGACAATTAGAAAGTAAGAACTTCCTTAGGTTCAGACCAAGCTGGGCTCATTCTTATTTTTAGATTATTTATAATCTGACAAGAAAACTCTGCTTTACCAAAGTCAATGTAATGTGTGTTTGACGATATTCTAAATCACTGTGTCATTTCACAAAACAAAGGGTTCTGCAGCAGCCAGGCAAAACGCATAGAGCAAATGTATCCATTATGTAGAATTTATCTTCCTGTCTGGAATGCATTTTCGTGTTGTGGGCATGTACATAACTGAACTTAACAAAAGCATACCCAGCATAGATTTTTACACTTACTGTGTTTTACAGTAGCCTGTGTCTTTTCTCTCAGGTACATAAAAGAAGGTGACAGTGTGTCTCAGTTTGACAGTATCTGTGAAGTACAAAGTGATAAGGCTTCTGTTACTATTACCAGTCGTTACGATGGCATCATTAGAAAACTCCATTACAGTATAGATGATATTGCTTTTGTTGGAAAACCATTAGTGGACATTGAAATTGATGCTTCTAAAGGTATTGTAAGATATATTTTTCTCTTGCATATTTTGTGTTTATTGTCGTAAAAACATCAGTGGCAGAGAAGTTTACTTTTTCTTCCTGAGAATCTTAAAAAGTAATATTTTTTTCCCTTCATAAGGGCAAGGAAATTGAGTAGAGAAAGTTGTTATATTTTATTAGAATTTAAAATCTCAAAAGCCAGATATATCCTATTGAATATTTAGCTTAAGCAGCAGCTTTTATAAAGCAAGCTGTGTTCCCATCCACAGTAACTCAGAGTAAATGCTAAAACCTTCAGCTATCACAGAATCACAGAATGGTCGAGGTTGGAATTTAAGAAATGCTTATAATGTAGTAAAGTCAAATTTTTTATTTTCATTTGCAGGTTTTGCCTCAGAAAAAGATGTTGTGGAAACCCCTCCTATGTCTCATGAAGAGCACACTCACCAAGAGATAAAAGGTCACAAAACATTAGCAACCCCTGCAGTTCGTCGCCTGGCCATGGAGAACAATGTAGGTTTGCTGAATAAGGTCCTGTTGCATTTTATCCAGCTTTTATATGGCATTTTGACTGACTACAAGAACATTGATCTAGAGGAAAGACTTGTTTTCAAATAATTTTGAAGGTGTGAAAATTGTTGTAAAATGAAGAGAATTGTGCTTTCTGATTATTATGGTGGATAGAAAATGGATTACTGGGCTTAAAATGCAGCTCGGATGCTTTAGGCTGAAGATTAAGAAACCCCGGGACAGAAGAAGGTGGAGGGAAAAATAAAATCTCAGTTTTAGCCAGCTTGTTCTGTTTTTCAGATTTGTATTAGAGCAGAGGGTATACTAGGTGATCTTTTTAAAGTGTCTTTCTAATGCCTTTTTTTCCTTATGAATCTGTGAATATTCCATTAGTTTTGAAAGTTGGTGATGCACTTTTAGGAGAAAAATAAAACAATAAGTACAGAAAATTAAGTGACAAATAGCTTTCCTCAAATTCATATTTCACTATTGATCCTGTGAAGCAATTAGGAGGTAAGTAGTATTCGTAGTTCCTCCTCAAAATATGCAACTAAACAGTGGGACTTTTGGATGATTGGAACAATTAGGTTAAGTACCTAATAAATTATAGAAAGGGAAAGAAAACTGTTGGTATGTTGGATTGGTAATGGGAATAATTTTTAACCGTAGCTCACAATATAGAATATTTTTATATTGCTGTAAAACTGGAGTGTCACAGCTTGTTATGTACTTTTCAGATTAAATTGAGTGAAGTTGTTGGAACAGGGAAAGATAACAGAATCCTTAAAGAAGACATACTCAATTACTTGGCCAAACAAACAGGAGCTATTTTACCTCCATCACCAAAGGCTGAAATTGTCCCACCTTTGTCAAAATCAGAGACTGTGCCAGCTGCTCCAAAGGACAAAGCACGCAAAATCCCAGTACCTGTTTCCAGACCTATTGTGTTTTCAGGAAAAGATAGAACTGAACCTGTAACAGGTAAATCAAGAAATATAAAATCTTGAGACCATGTTCACAGTAGACTACCAGCAAGTGTTGCTCTGTGAAAAGCTGCCTCCTTCTGATGGGGGTGTGTTTCACGTTACTGTCATGCCAGGGAGCATGACTGTAAGAAGCTCTGTAAGCATCATCTCTGATGAAATCATTTTATGAAAGATTTGTTTGTGTTTTGATTGGATGGAGTTGGGCTGCAAACTGAACTTGCTCATTCTTCAAATGTATGCTGAAACATGTAGGAATTCTGAAATGTAGGTTTGTCACAGTAGGAATCATTATGCAATTAGTGGCAAAGTACAGTGAATTTAAGGGTTTATCAGCACTTAATAACAGCATATTTCAGCATTCACACTTGTTCTGGAGAAGAGTGCCACAAAAGACTCTAAGGTTAAAAAAAGGCATATTAAAAGGGGAAGATAAAAGTTTTTTGCTTGCCTTTCGAGCAACGTTTATTTGGAGGCTGGAAAGAGTAATGCAGATTATGGTATCATCATTTCCAATCCATACATACATAGGAGAAACGTGCAGTAATATCATCTTAGGTGTTACGGTTGTAAAAATTGAGTTACGTATACTGAATAACTGGTGATCCTAAAGTGCTCTTTACCCTGTGCTTTTTGGTTGTAGTTTAGCTTTTGTTTGGTTTAGTTTTTGTAAGTTATGTAATTTGTTTAATGGAAACAAATAATTAAATTTCACCATAGCTTCACAGAAGCTCATTTGGTTGGTTTAAGAAGTCAGTAAATATTTTCCAGGTTTTCAGAAGGCAATGGTAAAGACTATGAGTGCAGCCCTGAAGATACCCCACTTTGGTTATTGTGATGAGATTGATTTGACTCAGCTTGTTCAGTTGCGAGAAGAGCTGAAACCTCTGGCTGAAATCCGTGGAATTAAGCTTTCCTTTATGCCTTTCTTCATAAAGGTGAGACTGTATGGGATATTTACACAGCTTTTGCCTAAATGTTTTCAATGATTGGGGTACGTTTGGAGCACCTCTCTATCATATGAATTATGACAGATCACAAGAAAAGTCTCAGCTTTTCTTGTTTCTTGAACCACTTACCAATTTACAGTTGGAACTGCAGTGAGGTTTACATAATATCATTGAAAATTTTTGAAATATTAATGGGGAAGGATAGAGCGGCTTAAGTGTCATTCAGTATGGGGGTAAACATCACTAAGGGTTGGAATTGCACAGAACAAATTTTGGAAACTATCAGTAATTTTTTTGAGTTCCTTTAAAATGAACCTCACATGAAATGTGTCGTTGTTGTTGTTATTATTGTCACAGTATTTGTAGTGAATAATTTGAATTGAATAAATAATACCTTAGGTGCATCAGTATGTCTCTTCTGTTGTTCAGAAGACCAGGCACTTGCACTCATTTAGCTGCTGTGGTTCCATTTCCAACTGATGCACTCACTGCCTAAACTGTGCATTGAAAGCATAGCTTACCTGAAACCTCTGGTAGTGCTATTGCAGTGCTACGTAAGCACTCTTCCTGCTCACTGTCTTTAGGGGCAATTAATATTACTTCCTTGAAAAATTGTCATTTAAGCTGAGAACTGAGAATGACATTGCAGCTGAATCGCATAACTTTTGGGATATTTGATTTGAATTGTGGAACAAAAATAACAAATGCAGATTCAACTTCAGTTATAGTGGGGAAAGGAATTATCATTTTTTATATGTCTGTCTGATGTATATTTGGTTTTTGCAAGTTGTTCTTTTTTTTTTTTTGCTATCCTAATAATGACAAAGTATCAACAGACATATTAAGGAGAGTTTAAGCCAAATTTGATTGCAGTGAGGGAATCCATATTGTTATTAACCTAAATTATCTCCTACCATTACTTCCTTTCTATGGAGCTTTCTGGTTATAAAATATAACAATCTATCTTTTTTTTTTCTTCTTATATTTAACAGGCAGCCTCTCTGGGATTATTGCAGTATCCCATTCTTAATGCTTCCTTGGATGAAAACTGTCAAAATGTCACATATAAGGTTTGTAAATTACTGATAAAAGTTGTGAGCAGAAAACCTAAAGTAACAGCTAACAGGGGCTTTTCAGAATGTCTGAGTTAATTTTAAAAACCAAAACTGTGGTGTTGTGCTGGAAAATAATTTGTGTGTCCAGATTCTAAGATCTGGATTTGATTTATTATTGAACTTACTTCAGGAGTTTGTTAAACAAGAGTCACTTTGTTATTCAGACTTGCCTCAAAATTACATATTAATATAGTGATTTTCTATTTTTTACCTGAATATGGGCCAAGCATTTAAAATGGAAACACTTAAAAATCTAATACAACAATTTTTTAGTAATGGCACAGTGGTTCTATTGTTCCAACACTCGACCCTTATGTATTAAAGTTATATTTTAAACTCAGGTTTGATAAAAATGATGTAATTTTCATACCAGCTGCTGGAGTGATACTTCTAGGAAGCTAGTGTCTATTTTCTTGAGTGATGTGTATGTGCCCCTTGCAGTACAAACTCCTTTTGTGCTGTTTGATCAATATCTCTCAGAATTCTTATATTCCTTCTGGCAAATGAAAGGCAACTGAGTTTCCTTTTTTTTAACTTTAGTGTTCTCTTTAAAATCTGCTATTTATGTTTTGTTAGACTTGCAATCATCCTGAAGTTCAGTGTTTTCAGTGTGAAATCAGTTCCTGGATTTTGTATTCCCTGGGTGTGAAATTGCCAGCAATTCGCAGGTGTGGAAAGCTAATATTTAAAAATTTACATCCTTTTCTCCCCTCAAAGTTGTATAAAGGAATTGTTTACTAAAGACAACCCTTTCTAGGTTGAAAAGATAAATGGGGAAGATGTGATTTAAGTGCCTTTTTATGTAAAATACATTTTATGTTGATAGCTTATAATAACATCCAGTTAATGAAACTTCTTTCAGGCTTCACACAACATTGGAGTTGCAATGGACACAGAGCAAGGTTTAATTGTCCCAAACGTGAAAAATGTCCAAGTGTGTAGCGTGTTTGACATTGCTTCTGAATTGAATCGCCTACAGTCCTTGGGCTCTGCAGGCCAGCTGGGAACAAGTGACCTCACGGGGGGAACATTCACACTTTCAAATATTGGCACAGTAAGTAAAGGAAAAAAGAGAACTACATCTGAAAACTGCTTCTGAAATGAAAACTTTACTGAAGTTTAATATACAATGAATAAAACCTGTAGCAATTCATTCAAGAGGCAATCTGCTCTAAAAAAACCCAAACTATTTGGTAAATAATATCCCCAGCTTTTTCTTTTGTAGATTGGTGGCACTTATGCCAAACCAGTGATACTACCTCCTGAAGTAGCTATTGGAGCACTTGGAAAGATACAGGTATAGTAACTTTGTCTCAGTGATATGAGTGTTTAGGTCATCTGTAATTAAAGTGAAACTGTAGTCTCTCTTTTGTTTTTCTTTTATAAACATTTCTTTATATTAGAGAAATTGCATAGCTTGTGATTGCAAAGTTTTGTAGTGGTTTTAGATGACTGTACAGACACTAGATGTTTAACTAGAAGTTAAACACCAAGGGTTCAGATTTGTTTTCTAGAATCCTGTTATATTTCACTCACATCTGTGTTTAGCCTTCTAGTGGTCAGGAAACAACACAAATATATTTTTACAAGTTTTGCAACATGCTATAACATTGTTGCTATCATCAAGGAGAAAATTTGAGAAGTACTCTGATAATGAAGTATAATTTCATGAGCCAGTTAGCTGAATCCATACAGAAATTTGTGTGGTGAAGGCAGTTTTATATTTTCTGAATTTCAGCCCTTAATTCTTTCACATAGACATTTGAGACCAGTGCTGGAAATGAAATTAGTATTAATTTAAATTACTACTTCTAGGTTCTTCCCATGAGCATTTTGTTCAGGGGATGCTTTAAGGAAACCGTCACTTTGAGAACTAACAGTGCAATAAACTATTCAGGAAGAAACTTTTGAGTCAAAAAAGATTTTCAGTACTTCAGTGTTTCCATGATGGTGGAAACAGGATGTGACTGTTTGTTATGTTGGTTTGCAATATATTCTAATCCACAGCACAAACAATAACGGGAAGGTCTTGGTTTTTTTGAAGGGTGTTACTGCTGTCTGTCTAATTTAGGAAAATATTTAAATTTGGATCAACAAATTAATAACAAAAAAATAGAGATCTGCTAATGAAAGTATTTAATATGTCAGTTCTTTTCTTTCCTCTGATTTTTAGGTTGTTCCTCGGTTTAATGGGAAAGGTGAAGTATTTAAGGCGCAGATAATGAACGTGAGCTGGTCAGCTGATCACCGCATCATTGACGGAGCGACCATGGCCCGGTTTTCTAACCTGTGGAAATCTTACGTGGAGAACCCTGCTTCGATGCTGCTGGACCTTAAATAAAGGAACCCATGGCTAGAACATGCCTTTAAACTTTGTGGTTTAGACTGAATAGTTATGAAAGCTGTCTCTGCTAACATGTGCCCTTGGCTACGTGCATTATATAATAATGTTATGTGGTTAAAAGTTCTCAACAGTTGATATCAGTCTATCAATTAGTCGTTACTTCTTTTAATTAGTAGTGCTGTATTTTTTCTACAGCAGACTGTCAAACTGAATAGGTCAAGGCTTCTGAATATGGTGGTGGAATGTCTTTACTGTGCCTTTTATAATAATTGTCAGGTTGGTGGGACTGAGTGACGCTGCTCTACACCTGCAGTATTTATAATCTGATTAACCTGTCTTAAAGGGGAATACTCCTAGTTCTTCCATGTTGGACACGTAAATTTATTTTAACCAATAATATCCAGATTCCCAAAAGGAGTTATGCAAAAATCATATACAAATAAAATGCCTTTAATATTTCTGCTGTAAGAGGGCTTTTTGTTGTTTACCTTAGTAAACCTCCGAAGTCTTTTGCTAGTTCATATTTTCCTGGCAATTACTTGCACAGGTTTTCTTTATCAAATTGTAAATGAAGAGGCCATATTTATTCAAATGCTTACTGATAACAGTAATTCGTAACTATCAGGACCTTAATACTCTCTAGAATATCCTGTATTTTTGTAAGCTGAAAGTAGTTTCAGTCCCTAATGCTTTCCAGTTTTTTTTGTTTCTTATAGAAAGCATCTGTCCATGCTTTCTATAGAAAAGAAAGAAAGAAAAAGAAAACAAATTAAAAAAGAAGGATCTTGTTTTGTTATTTTCACATTAGGTGAGACTGACAGTAAGCTGAACGTGTTCCAAAAGCTTGCACTGTGTTATTGATCTTCAGGTGCTAGCATTTACCAGATTAATCAGATTCAACAAAGAGTGGACATTAAAAAATACTATGTAAGATAAGACTTTCCTAAACTCAGATACGAGGCACATAATGAATAGGTTCGAGTTAATGGCTTCAAAACAGAAAACAGTTACATGGCTTTAAGGTGAACTAAACAGATGAGGATTGTGCTGGTGATATAATGGGAGATAGGAAGAAAACCATTGGATATAAATACCTTCTAGAAACCTAAGCTGCAAACAGACACAAGAAAAGAGAGTTATATGGCCTTAAAAATGAATCTGTGATGCACAAAATGGACATTTTCTCCTTTCTTTAGATATATCAAACCCAGGAGCATTCTCCAGAAGTGTAGACCAAAGTTATCTATTGCATTTAGCTGTGAAAATGTGAGACAGGCTATCAGAGGTAGAATCCCTGCTATCCTTGATGCTGGAAGTGAGCAAGAGGAAAGCTGGTAATGTAGGAGGGGGAGCATGGAGCATCCATGTAAGGTGCTATTTATATTTCTATTGTGGTATAAGGGTCTTTTATATAAAGGTCATTTCTTGCAAAGTTTGACTAATATATCATGCTTATCACCTAATTCATTTTTATCAGATTTATTTATTCCTAATAAAAAAATAAAGCCACAAAAAATTGTAATATTGTTTTTATTTGTGAATTTCATGCAGGCAATGCTGTACAGGTGATTCAAACTATTTCTTCTGATCTTGAACACACAGTACTCAAGGCTACCAAAAGAGCACAGCCTAATGGCTGCTTTCCTGCAAGCATACTGTTGTGGTAAGGGGCTCAGTCTGAATAGTATATTTTTTAATCTGATGACCACTGAGAAAATAAACACAGGAAACATAAGTAGATGAAAGAAAGCAATAAAGTGATTTTGAAATATTTAAGATAGAATAATTTTACTTGCACAAGGAGCCTGAAATTTGTCTCTCAAGACTCCAATAAATAGGAGAGCTGTTGAGTTTTTTTACCCTAATTATCTGTCTTTAGGGAGGAGCAAATGAGGTTAGGTTTTTAGTTATGATTGGCTTTGATCAAGAGTTTGAATCTATACCAAAATTGAAAGAAGAAATGCCTATAACAAAGAAACTTTAGGATCATTTTTGCTTTTGCATAATGTTTGTTTGGTTTTTTTTAAAGTATAGAAGATTGAAAGACTTGAAATCTAAAGTACTTAATGTCTTTTAAATAGATATTGGTGTTCCAGTATTTAGTTGGTTGTAGACTGAAGAGAGTGGTTTTGGTTTTTTTAATTGTAAAGTTCTGTATGGTAGGTTTATAACCAAACTCACAATATTTTAAAATTTCATCTTCACATTTTATACTCCAGTGCACTTGGTTAGAATTATCCAGTTTTATGGCTTCTGCCTCAAACAGTGATCTGTGATTATTGTTGTCTCTCTCTTTCCATTTGACTGAAGAAACAGATTCTGACAGATTCTCCTTTTATCTTCTCTAAGGACTATTTGAAGAAATAGAATGTTAAAAATGTTTCATGGTTGGAAGCATGAAAAGGGGTGAGTAACAACCCCTCTGTACCTCTTGATAAAGATTAGTTTTCTATCTGGACTTTGCTAATTGGCACTAAAATTCTTTAACAAACGAATTTTTCAGCATAGACAGAAGTAATGAGTAAAATACTTAGTGATGTAATACTTTTTCTAGTCTATTCAGTCTGTGTGGCTGTTTATTAGCACTTTGAAGCTCAGTTATATTGCAGAGAAACATTACTAGAGTAAGCAAGAAGTTGTCATTTTCAATTCAAAACTAGACTTTTTTATCTTTGTTATTTTTAATTCAATATGAGCTCATTGTAGAGAATAACAATTACTCCTTTGTTCTTCTTTTTCACAATTTGTAACTTTTTTAAGCAGGAGTTCAAGGGAGCCCCGTCATGCTCAGCAAACTGGGGAGACTTTACAGTGGTAAATGCTTGGGGGAGGTTGCAGAAGTGCCTCATGTGATGCCTTCTATTCTCAGCATAGGTTAAAATTAGAACTAGACTGACATTGCATTGGAGTCTGAGAGTTCTAAATGGTTTTGGTAATACAGACAAGATTTGTAATTTGTCTCTGCTCTTGTCCAGAAAGCAACGAGTCACAGAAAATCCTTGAAAACACCAAATAATTGAGGTAAGTTGTTGTTAAATTCTTTCTGATGCCTGGAGATGAAGTTGTAGGGAGATCTGGTTACTTGGGATTAAATTTGCACTTGTTTTAGAGCTGCAGTTGGGAATTCACTCCTGAATTGTTGGCTGTGATGGCATGAGTATTATGGGGGTTATTTTCTTGAAAAATAATAAGATCTAAGAACAAGAAGCTTTTGGTGGTAGTCCTGTTGTATGATAAAATCATCCTGAAAATAAAGTCATATATTTAGTCCCTTTCATATTTCATGGTTCTGAAGGAGCACTTATTGAATAATATGCTTTCCACAGCAAAAGGGAGTTGCCCAGAGTAAGATTTACTAAAAACAAGTATTGTTTTGACTGTAAAGTATGATACTGGGTTACTAGTACGACTATTAACAAATATCTTTTTTCTGCACAGTTTATATAAAAGGATTTCTAATTTTCCAAAAAGGCTTGTAGTTAAAGAAAAAAATCTCCAAACAAGAAATTATAAATTAGTTCAATCACTTGATCTCAGCAGAAATTTAATCCTGAAAAAATCAGGCAATTTAAATTGTAACCACTAACAAGAGCAAAAGACCTCATGCATATATAGCATTACTATTGCATATTGGGATGAGGACTGGGAAGGGTAGTTACTCTGAGGACCACTGAAAGAGAAACTAGTTAGTTCTTCAAACTAGCAAATGTGCTCACAATTATGTGGGGGAGGGAAAGAGAATACAATCCTCTCTTTACAGGAAAAAATTCCATCCTTTTGGAACCCAAATGCCAGACTGCACTGTGCCACACTGTGGTTACCATTTGTGTCACTTGTCAAATCCTGACATTTTTCCTTAACAAACAGAGAACAGTTAAGAATCTTAAATATTGGTATATCAGACCAGCTTCTTATTTATTCAGGCATTATAATTTGATTTTTATGTTGTCTTTACAACAGGAAGCAATCCTAATATTTTACATTTTATTTGTCTAATTAAATTATTTCAGTATAATAATGCTTTACAAGTAAGTATGTTGACAAAAGACATAGTAAGCAAATAGAATGATTGACAGTTTGAAAACAAAAGTGTTCACTAAGCAATTGTAGCTTGTCCAGGCCACACACAATTATACTGGAATAAATATAATAGAAAAGATTGGTTCTAAAAGACAAACCCTTTCCCCAAATGACTGCAGTAATGGTAATATGAATGATTTTCAGAGTGGTGCACTGATTAGGATGACTGAATATCCTACTTCGCTGCTTTTCAGGAATATATATCTTAATTATCTCACTAAGGGATAGGTGACTTCAAAACTTTAGACTGAATTTAATTTTAAATGTGGATCCTGACACTCAGCAGGGCTACAAGAAGATTTAAACACAAATCAGAAAAATTTAAAAGCCTGTTCTTAAAGGTAATGCATTACTAACTATAAAATGCATTATAATGAGTTAAACCATGAAGAAAATGAATGCAAATAAAGTTTACTAATTTATTTCCAGGAACAGTTCCGTTTTTGTGAAGTGCAAAACTCCTTAAGTCACAAGTACTTATATCAGGTAGCTGCCAGGATGCAGGTATCATAATTTAACTGCCTTACATTGCAGGTAACAGCTTAATTTCTTCCTGGGATGGGAATAAATGCTCAAATCTGCATTTAATAATTATGGTGAGTACTTAGCCTATCATTGGAAGGAACTGAGAGAAGCTGAATAAGAATACAGAGACTTCAAGAATACCATTTCTTAATACAAGACAGTTTCACTAGGTGCTATTGTCTATTTTTATAAAGAGAAAGGAGATGGTAAAATCCTGTTTGTTCTATACATTAACTGCGTGTAATAATACAATGAAATGGATATTGCAGGGTTTTAGCTCTCATGTCACTGTCCCCAGCTGGTAACTGCGTTCCATCAGATTCCTGGGACTGCATTTGAACATGTAAAGGATCATGGCTGAAACTGCAGTTTGCCTTGGCACATTCACTGCTGTGAAGACACTTTGGGAAGTGAGAATACACAAGATAAATGAAGAATTACAGAAAGAAAAGGAATTCAGGCAGAGGTCTGCAGGAAGGTAAATTGTAGATCTTTAATTATGTGGAAAGCTAGACCATATGTTGCATTTCTGAAGACTGTAATTAATCTTTTCAAACTCATCCAGACTCTAATTCTTTAGTTGTTACTCCAGCAGAATTCCCAGTGGTTAGAATCTAGCAATATGGTCAGGTCAAACCAAGAATTGTGTCTGTGATAAAAATATTATATTAATAATATCTGAATTTAAATCCCTTAAATTCAGATACTAAAATAACTGTGTGGATACTCTAACCTGTGGAAATTTGTTTTTTTCTCCATAGAGGCATTAATAGGGTCACTTAGTTTTCTGTCTGGGCAGCAATTTAAATTTGAAGAAATTTAGCATTCTAGTTTTTAGACCTCTTCCTGCTTTATCAGATGTGTCTAAAATGGAATGGCAAATCCAAAAGCTACTAATGGAAAATACAAGCAGAAAGAAAGAGAATTAGCCTAATTGTCATAGTTCTTGTTGAAGTCCTCTTTGGAAATCAAGCTAAAAGAATCTCTTGCTGATTGGCCTTGTTTTGTTGAACTTACATTTGGTGTAATGGAAGGTTTCCTTTTTAGGAGACTGCCTCAAAATTAAGGCTTTGGAACTTAGTTCCGCATGACTTTATATTCTGTTGCCCTGCTGCAACATGTTGAAAGTTAATTAAGTAATGTCCTCCTTCTGAATGTAAATTTGAAGAACTGTAAAATAGAATTCCTATATATAGAATTACCTCATTAATTACTACATTAATTGTTTGTCTTCCCTCAATTTGATAGTATTTTTAGTATCCAGATATAATTAACATTGTTTGACATCCAAAAAGGCTACTGTGTCTTTTTTTCCAGAAAATAGATAGGATAGTAATTATTGTCTGTATTCACTGTTGCCCCACTGACAGATCTTTCCCTTGTAGGCTACTGCTTGTCTGGGAGGAAAGAGCTGCTTTGGCAAAGCTCAAAGAAAGAGTTATTAATGAAGGTGGAAGAGCAATTTTAAGGATAGAGGAAGAAGAATGGAAGGTAGTGTTGATAGGAATGCATGTTGAATGACTGATGCATTAGAAAACTACTATTTACAACTTTACACTTATACAGTTGTACTGTTTTTCTTAAGTACTCACTGTGTGCTTTGCTAACAGTGAGTTGGGACATGTTGTTGTGAGTGTAAAAGCAAGCTGGGTTTTTTTTAGTCATGAATATTAAGCATTACTCTTAGGCAAAAATATAGCCTAAAAGGCTTTTCTGCATCAGAAATTATTTACATTCCGAATTATGAGTTTCATGACATAAATCCTCATTTAACATTAACACACCAGAACTACTGAAATGTATCAAGGTGAAAACTCTGTTGTTTAGGTGCATGACAATATTTCTTACCGTTGTTTACTTTCTAAGAGCAGAAATAAGGCAGTAGGTTCCCAGAACACTATTATTGTGGTTTCTGATCCGTGGGGGGTAAGCCACTAATAGCTTTTAATGGCAGAGTGGAAGTTCACAGCCCTCTGAGCCACAGAGAGATGCAGATACCAGTTGCTATGAAGTGATGAGAATTAGGCCATGTTGAGCCAGTGGGAGAGCCAGACCCAGCAATGCTCTGGTGGTCCATAGGCCGGTGTTCCTTGTTTGGAACTCTGCATACATTGTAATTTTTCTATCCCCCTGCTCTTCTACTCTCAGCTGCTCACTGTTTTTCTTAAGAGACTATGAAACAGAATTTAAATCTCCCTTTATGTGCAGAAATCTATTTAGAGCAGTTTCATCATCAGTCATGTTGACTTTGTTGAAAAAAAAAAGAAAGAAAGAAAGAAAGAAACCAAAGCAAGTCTCAAACTTGTCAATCAATGACAGTAGTGCAGGTATGTAAATACTGGGAGCAAAAAGGGGGCAGGCTAAATCTGTGATCACAATGACAGCCCACAGTGGGTTCACTTCGGGATCATGGAATCATGGAATATCCTGAGTTGGAAGGGACCCACAAGGATCATAGATTCCAACTCCTGGCCCTGCACAGGACAGCCCAAGAATCCCACCATGTGTTGTCCAAACACCTCTTGAACTCTGTCAGGCTTGGTGCTGTGACCTGGAGAGCCTGTTCCAGTGCCCAGCCACTCTCTGAAGGAAGAACCTTTTCCTAACATATTGATATAAAACCTTATAAAATATAAACCTTTTCCTAATATATAGGATATTGAAATAGTATCAGTTATGCTTGCTACTTTTAGCATGTTTTAGAAATCAATTACCAGGATTCATTTTGTAACCTACATGTTATAGTATAGTTTAAGAAGAACGAAAGACTGTTAGTGTTCAAATAAAATTTCTACCTCAGCCTGTATTCTTCTTGTATACTAAGCTGAATTTCTTCTGGTTCATATTTCTTGTCTTAGACACTACCTTCGTGCTTATTGAAACTAGTCCATCTCCAGGAATGGCAGCTTCATAGAACTAGTCTGCAGAAAATTCCTCAATTTATTGGAAGATTTCAGAGTCTTGTTGTTCTGGATCTATCCCGGAACTCAATTGAAAGTGTACCTAAAGAAATTGGTGAGCTGTACTTTCTTTTAAGCTGCTTTTCTAAGAAAATTGCAGAGATATGCCATTTTTGTGCCCTTTGCCTGTCTAAGAATCCTATTGGGTAGTTAGAAAAGAGATGATTTAAATCTGACAGTGAGACAGAGATCTCCAAACCACAGATTGCCTACAAATTAAAAAATGACTGGATGGAAGACACAAAGCTTTATGTGTCCAAGCTCCTCATGGAAAAAAAAAGCCTGCAAGCACAGCAGGGACTAGACATGCAGCTAGAAAAGTGATATTGAAAAACAGGCTTCATGTTCTGAGTCCACAGCATGAGCAGTCTATTCATAATTTTTCAGTTTTGGGTTTTCAGAATGCAGCTCTGTACTAAAGAGTCCTGAAGTCCTACTATTTGCATTTCAGTGATTTTAAAAAATTTTTTATTTTAAATTTGTGAAAACACAGAGCATTTCTATAACAGTTAAAGGATAAGACAAAACAGGTAATATTGTACTTCAAATAGAATGAACATGAGCATTTCTCATGTCTCATTTGTGCTCTCTGCAGGCCAGCTGACCAGCCTCCAAGAGCTGCTTCTCAGTTACAATAGAATAAAGTCTGTTCCAAAGGAAATAAGTAACTGCATCAGTCTGGAAAGATTGGAACTGGCTGTCAACAGGAATATCTGTGATCTTCCTCCTCAGGTTTTGACACTGTTTTGTTTTGTTTAATGCATATTTTTTGAATTTATCCAAACCCAATTATCATTAAAGGTTGCACTCCATGTTTTCAGATTTGCTGTAATACTCTGATTTCACAACTGATCCACAGAAACGCTGATGTGAACAGCCTTTCTATGACTAGTCAAACTGAAGCCATGCGAGAAGAACATACTTATACCTGAGTAGCTGAAGGAGCCAATCTTTATTTTGTCCAGATAAATGGCTTGGCAGTGCATACAGGGCAGTGATACACTTCACATCAATTTGTCTAGGCTGAATGTCTTCACTGGTTTACACCAATGAGAATCTGATGCCTTAGCAGAGAGAAGTTCTCTTTTATGGTTGAGAGTAGAAATTCATACCACATGCCAGGACACAACTGTAAGCATCTTGACCAGAACAACTAGCTGTGTGATTTATACAACTGCCTATGCATGCAGTTGAACAATTGTTGTTCTCAAATATTGAAAACAATTATCAGGGAATAAAAACAACTGCTCACCTACTACTGAGCTTTAATTTGAACTGACCTACATGTGAGAGAGACCTGCATCTCTATTAGTCTCTTAGACAGAGATGACAAGTATGCAACCATATATACTTTTTAAAATTTATTTAAAAACATAGTAGTGACAATAGTTGTCAGCAATCAGTGCCTTGCAAAATTGAGTGAATCCAGACAGTGATACCCAATATCAAATCTTTAAATGGAAATATACACTATTAACCAAAATCCAGGATTTACAAAATTTACATGGATACAGGTTACATGGTGTAATGTAGAGTGATGGCTTTTAAATTAACAGCTTATAGCAAATGCATAGTTCTGTCCTGTCGAGACTACAGTGATGTGAACACTGTGAAGCTTTGGTTGTGTGTAGTTGAGTGGCATTCAATGTTTAGACAGTTGGATCAGATTTGCCATAAATTATCTTTGTATCACTTGAACATTGTAAAAGCACCTGAAGGCATGATTCACCAAAGGAGTTAGGTGCTGCAATACTGAATGATGCATGTTGCATTTTTAGAATGTTAGTAGACTTCACAGCATGGAAGGTGTCAAGGTCCACTCTAAAATACAGTACATGCAATTTGATGGATAAAAATCTAAATATTTGACTAATGAAAAATGTCATATTTCATGGAGTATGACATACTAAGGACAGTGCTGTCTTTAAAATTCTCTTTCTCCATGAGGCTTAGTGCATATATGCATTGTAGTCGTGGCTTTCAGCCTCTCGGCACTTACGGCACTTGCTACCAGGTGAGGTAAAGTTCTTCTGCCTGACCAGTTTCAAACCTACCTACCTTCCAGGTGAGAACTGTAACTGTTAGACAATACCAGCTAATGTAACTCAGAAACCATTCCCTGTTAACTAGCTCCAAAATACGTTGTAATGTTCGTTAACATTTTTAGAGCACTGCTGTAATGCTGCAACAGCTACACAAACTTGCATTAAATCTCCACTTCTTTTCAGCTCAGTGATTTAAAGAAGCTTTCACACATAGATTTGTGCATGAATCAGTTTACTACCATCCCTTCAGCTCTCCTCAACATGCCACATCTAGAATGGTTAGATATGGGGGGAAATAAACTCCAGGAGCTTCCTGATGCAATTGACAGGTAAATAAAACTCAAAGCTCATCTTAGTCTCAATTCCATTGCACTGAAATTCTAATTATTAAATGCTACTTCAAAAGATAATTTTTATGTTAACTTCACAGCAAATTTAACATTTTGTCAGCCCTAAAGTGATGGTTTGGGTGAGCTGGAATAATCCATTCAATTAACAATATAAGGTTAAATATTTATTGCCAATGACATTTTCAAACAGAGATTAGGTGATTATCTTGGATAGAGGGTTTCCTTAGAGACCAGCCTTTATGTGGCTGAAGAATTATTTATCGTAATTATTGATAAGATTAATTTTCTATATCTTGATTGAGTGCACAAATACCTGTTTTTCAGAATGGAAAATCTCCACACTTTATGGCTCCAAAGGAATGAGATAAACTCTTTGCCAGAAACCATTTGTAATATGAAAAATCTTAGTACTCTTGTTCTTAGCAACAACAAGCTTAAGGATATTCCAGCTTGTATGAAGGATATGACAAATCTGAGGTAAGAAAAAGCAACAGAAATATAAATAGAAATAGCAGAAGATAAGTTTTAAAGCCTTCTTTGAGTTGTATATCATAGAATGATACTAAGGAAGAGGAAAAGAAAAGGCATGATCACAGTTGTACAGATGGACACAATACCATATAAATCAGCATAATTGCACAGATTCACAACAGTTGAGGATCTGGTCAAGCAACCTTTGTGTAGTGAAACTCACTTAAAGAAGTGACTGATGATAGTTACAGTCCCAAATGAAAAAGCAGGGTATAATACATTTTCTCATTTCCAAAATGTCCTCATGCCCCCCCATAACTGGCCTTTTATATCACTCTCTAAAGCCAAAAGCCTGCAGAAAAATATGTGACAGGCATAAAAATAGCAAAAAGTAGAACTTTGCCACCGAGAAATCAAACATTCAGAATTAAACAAAAATGATTAGGTATGAGGACATGGACGAAAGGATATGAAAAATAAAAAATAATGGAAATTCTTAATTGAATATGCAATACTACTTTGTATACCATGACAGAAACTTTCCTGTTGTTTGCATTTTCATTTGGATTCCTGAATGCTGGCCATTTTAGAGAAAGAATGCTAGTCCACATAAATCATGTCTAACCCAGTAACAATTACTGTTTCCAGCTGTTTTGGAAGCACCTCTTAAACCAAATATATGCAAGCATAGGTGCAGGGATGGACCAAGGACAAAGAGAGACAGGACTGGCTACTGCCTTGCAAAGCTGGGAGGAGGCATTTGCACTGTTGTTCTCATCACTCCTGTTTGTGGAAGCTCAATGCTCCTGACCATGGAGTGAAAACCTGAACACAAAGTGACAAGGACTGCAATGTTTTTTCCCACCACAATCAGCTAGTGTTATTATAGTCTTCTTAGTTTACTTAATGCTATTGATAGAGGGGTGAGTTTAGTATAATAAAAGCCTTATTTAATTTTGCTTAAAATAGTGATTGACAAATCTTAATTCAGTTTCAAAAGAATTGTTTTCTCTCGACAAAACTTATTGCAAGCATAACCTTTTTTGGTGAATTATCAGATTTGTCAACTTCAGAGACAACCCACTGGAGCTAGAGGTAACCCTCCCTCCGTGTGAGGATACAGAGGAGGAGGAGCAGCAGGAAATGTTCGGCATTGACTTCATGCACATGTATATCCAGGAGTCCCTCAAGAAAACAGGTATGACTTTTTATTAATTCTGATCTCTCTGGAATACAGTGAGAAAGGGAAGAACAAACTGGATAAATAAAATCTAGGATACATATACAAATGAAACATGAATAGTCTTCTTAATAAATGAATAACATTTTCCAAAAAATCTGTAAAACAATTTTTACTGAGGGCAGGGGGTGCTTTTATCAGGAGTTGGCACAGCAGGTCTTCACACAAACAGCATATATTCTGGTAGGAACATAGGAATAAAAGTGCCTGAGTTACCTAGAGCTGGGATAAGTAGAAGCTGTCTTTTGTATTTGTAATTTAATCAGTTTACATAGTTTGGGTCTTACAGCACCATTTATCTCATGAAGTTCAACTTTTCCTATTTCTGGATGTTGTCCAGATGGTACTACCAAAGAAGGAATAAGGGAGAGATGCTTATGTTCCCAACATACATCTTCTAGCAATGAAGTATCAACACCTGATAAACAGATGTTTCTCACAACTTACTTTCCCTGACACGAAGTCAGTCACCTAAACAAAACAGCCCCACAGTTTATTCTCATTTCTAAAACACTATGACAAAAATTTGCTGTTTGTAGCCTCAAAGGTAACAGTTTAAATGTTGCAGTAAGAAGCCAAACTAAACACTTCTGAAAAGATGTGCAGGTGGCAGCTGTTTCTTGCAGAGAGCACTTCATTGCAGATATAAAATGTTCTCTCTGATCTTCATTCTGTGTTTTGTGAAGGCTTAAAAAATGAATGAAATGCTCTTGATTTAGAACACTAGGCCAGCTTTTTTCTTATCAATATTTCATGAATGAATAATCAAATTAGCAAAAATACAGTTATCAAGAATACAGTTTACAAGTTAGTTTTCTTCCTTGATAGATTCCCCTGGCAGCATAGGCTGATGAAAGAACCTTGGCCTACTTAAATAATTTAAGAGGAAATACAAAGCTATCCTGAACTTCAAAGTGAAAATAAAGTATGTTATTTCCTCTCTTATTTTCACTTGTTGTCTTTCAGGAAATCTGGAAAGTTGTACTTCTGATCCTCCTCCGATCATAAATCCTAATGAATAAAGAATGTAACTGAGAATGGAAGACAATACCAAGTATACTTCTTCCCAGCAAAGAGGCCTACAACAGGTGTCAAATATTCTTAGGGATTTTATTTTTCCACTGATGAGAACTGGTTTGCATATGTGTAATTCCCAGTGACACTGGGAAATATAAGACCTTTTCCTGGGTACAGGAAAGACTAAAACATTTTTTTTTGTAAACACTGAATTAGCTTTTTAAAAAAAATCCAGATAAGTTTTTTAGGTTTTTTTTCCCCCTAACAATTCCAAATTATCTCCTGTCATGTAGTTGGCTCTGTTATCAAAAATGGACTTGGGACAGCTGTCAACAGGACATTCTCCAAGGATACAGCAGACTCTGTGTAATACTGTAGTGCAGCCTTGTATCCTTGTTGTTGTAAATATTCAATCCGTCCGTGATCAATCAGCCGTTTACAGAGGCAACCTATCTCCTTTCGTTCTTCAACAGTAAGTATCCTAGTGAATAAAAGGGAGGAAAAGAATGAACAACATCTGTCAGAGGAATAGTTTGGTTAGTTAACATTAGTAGTTAAGCTTAGAGAAACTACTGAAATCACTGTAAGTTCATTTCAGTCAGGCAACTGTGACTGTTGATATATTTTGAAATGTACATCCATAAAACCTGTATTTTTAAAGTAAAGTATTTCTGTAAGTTCAGTAATAAGTTTATTTCTGCAAAATGAGTTCTGTTGAGAACCCAAAACAATTTAGTGTGCCACTATACATAATTTTGCTTTTCTGCTGGAGTCCATTTGCTAGGAAAAAAAATCACGTACCCTTGCCATGTATCAGAACCACTCTCTGCCGTGCTGAATGTTTGCTCATGTTCTTCTGTGTCATTAGTTTGGTCTTCACTTTCTTCACTTGTAGAGGCTTTGCTTGTGGTTTCTCGCATGCCACAAGTGGCCCAACTACTCATTCTCTGGAAATAATGGAATTCTACTGCTCCCAGTCCAACTGATTTAAAGAACTCTCTGCCTACATAATGTGTCCAGTCACACTTGTGATGGCAACACAGAGCAATGACAATTCCAGCTACAGGCTTATGGTCTTCTGTGTTGCTGCCATTACCAGCAGCAGTGTCAGGAGCCACCTCTGTCGTAGCAGTCCTGCAGCGTTTTGCCGCAGGCTCTTCATTTTCTCCACCACAGCAAGTTGAGTAACTTTCAACCAAGCATCTCAGAGCCAGATCTGGGAATGAACAGATACACCACCAAAAAAATATCCATAAGCACCATGCCATTATTTATACAGGCTCTATCATGATTGGGAATGTACTTCCCATAAAGAAAAATAAAATCATGCATCACAAACTAAGCCAAAACACAATTTTAATGATAAAAAAAAAATTACAAACATGCTTTGAAAACATGAAAACCCTAAATGCTAAATTAATATTATGAGACCTCCAGAGCTCTTCAGGGCTTATCCTCTGGAATATTTGTTCTACGGAAGTGAATTTGAAACACTTGGGTAATAAACTGGCATATTGTAGGAGAATCTCCTCCCTGTAAAACATGCAACTATTTGCTCCAGAAATTTGATATCTAGGACACAATCTATTTAATATGCACATGTACTTCTTAAATGCTTAACTGTGTCATCTTTGTCACAATGCCTAGAAAGGTGTCATATTTGAGATATCTTTACGTAGTAAGCATATGATGTTAGAAAAATATTAGTTTAAAATTATCAGGACAGAAACACATTCTTATTTGTTTGCTTAGGATACATATTCAAACAGCCAACACAAATTTAAAAGAAAAATATTTCAAAGAGGCAACTGTGCTAAAAAAAAGTACTTTCACCAGATTACAAATGACCCATGCCACCACACAGCATTCTTTGTTCTAATCTATAGAGCCCAAGAAAGGCTTTACTTCTGCCTAAACTATCCTTGCACCTATTATCCACTGGAGTCAATAAGTAATTAGAATATAACTGCTATATTCACCAACAAAGGGTTAAAGGGCAAGAAGAGCTTAAAAGGATAGTCCGGAAGATCAGTCCATTCAGAGTGTAAGATTTAGTATCCTAACTTTCTGCAGTTCACACATCTGTAATTCATACCTGTTGCAGCACCACACAAATGCTTCCCAATTCCTACCACCGGTAGTTTCTTCTTCTCCAAAATAGGTACCTTACCTGGAGAGGGAAAAAAACCAAACAACCAACAAACCCCTTATGCAATCCACAATAACCCTAGCACCTATATATTATTATAGTTGGGGCAACATTTTTTCTGAATAAAATAATTTCTGCACACTTAGAAATAAATGTTTACCACTACTAAAACTACAGTGGTTTGGTCAAAGGAAAGTTTCTTTTACTAAAACAAATTAAAAGAATAGGATGCTGTGGCTGGGAAGCACATTTAACCATTTCAGCCTTTCTATACACTGCCTATGAAAGGTAAATATGACATTAATGCATCTCCTGATGAGAGGTGTTCCCACAAATTCTGTAGCATTGATGGTGCATAGTTGTACCTAAACCAAACAATGCAAAGATGTTTAATCCTGCAAGTTCTAAAAAACCCTTCAAAATCCACTTGTTTTGGTATTTCTCACCTGTAATGATGTCCTGCAAGTGTATAGAGTAGACAACTTTAAATCTCCATTTAAAATGTGTGTATATATACACATGCCTGTGTGTATATATGTGTATACACATAGCATTAACATATCCAAGCAACCACTGAGAATAATCTTCAAAACCATTTAAGCATTCTACATACATACTGACTTGAACCCCAGTATTCAAAATTTAAGAATAAGCCTCTATTTCAGAGTGACACAAGCCAAGAAGGAACTTACTTAAACATAAGTGCTGAATATCAACTTGAAGCCTCTCAAATATAGAATCTCTTCTTTTATGTTTTCCATCCACCTGTTTAAACAGAACAAGATTATTAAGTAGGGCTGGCCACTAATAATTATAATATTGCTTCGGCTATTAATGCCAGACCTTTTTCTTGTCAAGTCAACATCTGTGAATTTCCAACATTAAACACCAGGATTTTTTTTCTAATAGATTTCCTATCGGCGAAGTACGGAATGTAGAACTTTTGAAATTTAAATTTATTGAATTTAAAAATCTAATACTAACAGCTTCAATGGCAAGAGTTTAAAAATCACACACTGCTAATGTGACAATCCTCTTACCTTGAATCTTGTGGTTGCTCTTTCCACAAGCAAAAACTGCACATTTTCAACATTCTGTAAGGCAACATCAACCCAATGAGACAGCTTTCCTCGCCCAGCTCCAAACTCAACAAAACATCTTCCTGGACCAAGTAAATGCAATCTTTCCATGTTACCTAAAATAGAAGCCTACAAAGATCAAAAGATTATTTGTGAACCAAGCAAATATATATTGTGATGCCTTATAGAAAAATGATTACGTCACCAAACTGCAGATGACTTTTTCAAGCCTCCCCTTCAGTGAGGGATTAAGGAAAAGATGTTGTTTGTACAGAGGGATTATACATTCTGACTAGTCAGCAGTACCCTGCCCTTCTTCCCCTGCTCACAGAACTCCACTCAGAACTCTGTGGAATGGATACTGGGGTTCAGGTACACATTATAATATTCTTCTCGCTGATCTTCAAAGTAGCCATCCAAAATATGGGTACTGTACTGCATTTTCTGTAAAGCATCAGTGCCTGCAGAGCTCTCTCTCTCCTGCAGTTATGTGTTTTGTAATACACAGGAAAGGAAAGCAGAGCACAGGAAACACACATTTCTCACTCTTAAATTTTTCTTCCCAAACCTTTCCATTTTACTACACTATACAATCCATCTCCCTTAAAATTTCTGCTGTTTAATACCCATTAAAAAGGCAGAAGGTTAATTCAGGCTCTCCAATTCTTTTTGTGCATCTCTTACACAACCAGGAGACCCAGGACCAGCTCTTACAGCAAAAGTCAAAGATTCCTTCTTAGCAAATATTTTACTTTTTGTAGCTCAGTTTTATTACGAGTTAATAAAAACTATGAATATTTAAGTAATAATTCAGAACACCACACAATTTAAAGTTTATTTCAGTAAATAAGCTTCTGTTATTCACACTTAAGAAAGCAGCCATTCACAGGCTGTATATATGCTATTATTTGAAGAGCACAAAGTTGTAAAGCATATCAGATTTCCTCTATAGGAAGCTACTAGCATTATACACACAGAGTTGCTCAGATTTACAGCAGCACAATTTCACTCCAAACCCATCTATAGCTATTAGTAAATCAGTGACCACACCTGTTGTTTCAAGTGTTTGAAAGCAGATTCCCCATTCTTTGGGTCATTTAAGGCTTCTTGTAAAGCCTGGTGGGACAGTATTTCTTCCTTAAGATGAAGTTCCAGGCCTGCACAGAAATGCAAAACTTTTAGGCATCGCTTTCCAGTTTCCAAGAGTTCCAGTTTCCAAGAGTTTCTGGTTTGTAACACACGTTACAATAGTGACATGAGCTCGATCTGTAGCACTAGCAAACAGTCTGTTAGGAACATAAATCTCTCATCATATGTTTATAATTGTTATCTGTAGTAATATCTGAGTGGGAAACAAAAACTGAAGGGAACAAAGGATAAGTGTTTTATCATTCTCTCAGTCTAGTTTATTTTTCATAGTAACATTTAGCTGTTGGAGTCTATCTGATAATTACTTCATATGTGTTTAATACCACGTCGCATATTTTTACAGATATTTAACAATGGAAATAACAATGAAAAACTTAATAAATTCAATTTAAAACATTATATCTAGTATTAAGTAAGCTCACCATTACTTGCTTTTTTCAACTTGACAATTAAGTTCTGCAGCTCTTCACTGGATAGAGAAGATAAAGTGACCTTTTTAAGGAAAAAAAAAGCCACCTATAAATATAAGACCTTTTAAGTTTTCTAGTGCTTTATACTCATATGATAAATTGCAACATGTTATGTAAGGACTGAACTTAAAAACAAATAATTATACTCACTTGCTTTTCTGGTATTTCTGCCAC